TCTGACACAGTTGGCTTTAAGGAGGTGGTACTCGATTTGTTAGGCGCATTAGGGATGGTTAGAGGCTCGTATAATAGTCTCTGGCCATTCCTTTTATATATATCCAAAGTTTGTAGCTTTATAATTTATATTTATACATTGACATATCATATAATGCTATGGAATAATAGGTTGATTATATATTGGGGGACAATCCATCAAAGATGTCATACATGGTAGGATACGGAGATAGATATCCTCAAAGAATTCATCATCGAGGTTCGTCGCTCCCATCAATTATAAATCATCCACAAGTTATTGCCTGCAAGGAAGGAACAATTTATTTCAACACCTCGAACCCTAACCCTAATCTTTTGATTGGAGCGATTGTGGGCGGGCCAGGAGAAGATGATGTTTATGAAGATGATCGTGCTGATTTTCGCAAATCTGAACCGACTACTTACATCAATGCTCCTTTGGTTGGTGTGTTGGCCTATTTTGTTGCTAACCCTAATGCTTAGATGATGAGTAGATTGTATACATGCCCACATGTACATAGCAGTATATTATTGTGCAGCTCGCCGTGACTCTTTGGTAGTGCAGCATTGCGTAAGTCTCTTGGAGTTACGGGTTCGATCCCGCCTGAGTGCATTTGTCTTATGGTTAGACAAATGAGAATGGCTAGGGGCTCGTATCATAGCCTCTAACCATTCTATATAAAAGAAAATATTAGTGAAAGGTTTTGGAGCGAGTTAATAGGCATTAAGGATGATTAGAGGCTCGTATAATTGTCTCAGGCCATTCCTTTCATATATGTCCAAAGTTTGTAGCTTTATAATTTATATTTATGCATTGACATATCATAAAATGCTATGGAATAATAGGTTGATTATATATTGGGGGACAATCCATCAAAGATGTCATACATGGTAGGATACGGAGATAGATATCCTCAAAGAATTCATCATCGAGGTTCGTCACTCCCATCGATTATAAATCATCCACAAGTTATTGCCTGCAAGGAAGGAACAATTTATTTCAACACCTCGAACCCTAACCCTAATCTTTTGATTGGAGCGATTGTGGGCGGGCCAGGAGAAGATGATGTTTATGAAGATGATCGTGCTGATTTTCGCAAATCTGAACCGACTACTTACATCAATGCTCCTTTGGTTGGTGTGTTGGCCTATTTTGTTGCTAACCCTAATGCTTAGATGATGAGTAGATTGTATACATGCCCACATGTACATAGCAGTATATTATTGTGCAGCTCGCCATGACTCTTTGGTAGTGCAGCATTGCGTAAGTCTCTTGGAGTTACGGGTTCGATCCCGCCTGAGTGCATTTGTCTTATAGTGCGGGATTGAGTGGTCAGACAAATGAGAATGGCTAGGGGCTCGCGTATCATAACCTCTAACCATTCTATATAAAAAAAATATTAGTGAAAGGTTTTGGAGCGAGTTAATAGCGGATAAAATCGCGCTATAATTTTTTTTTTTGTGGGAGCAAATTGAGATTATATAAAAGGAATCATGAGTTGTATTTGATTTTCTTTAATATTTTTTTTATTTAACATAATATGATGTATGATTGATTATTATAAAAGAGTGGGCATTTAAAGAATTTGAGTGGATTATGTTTGACTTGTTATGAAATGGATGCAAAGATTCAAGTTTCTATGCAGCTTGTTTTTTTTTTTTTTAATTCATTTTTAATAATAATTTCATAATTTGGATATGGCATTTACATATATATCAATCAATTTTTTTTCTTATATTTATATATTTAACACCTAAATTTTATTTTTTACATTTGTACCACTTAATTCATTAATACTACATAAAAAAAAGATATTTTTACATAACAGCCATCAATATATTAAATATAACATTTTAATTATCTAAAATTTTTAACAAGGACATTTATAATAAAAAAATAGTTAAAATAATGAATTTATATCTAAAGTTTGTGGAGTAAAAATATTATATTTAATTTTTTTTTATAATTTTTATGCAAAAACACCTAAAAAAATTATTATTTTAATTTAAAAAAAAAATGAAACACACCTTTTTCATGCATCAGTATTCAGAACAATGCCATATATGTAGAAATTGGAAATTAGGTGTAGATATGTAAATAAATAAAAATTGAGTGGCATGCATGTAAATCTTCCACAAGTCAATTTAAATTATATAACTTTGCCTCATAATAGATCACGCGATAAACGACTATAGACAAAGTAGGCAAATTCAATCATTATCTCATGTTTCTTCCTATCTATTTGTAGCAGTCATAACTTATTAAAAAAAAAAATGTGAAACTCATGTTCAAAAATTTATGGCAGCCATTATAATTTTTTTTTTCTGTAAAATCATATCGTAGCGAGAAAATTATCACCACACATAATATTAGGAAAATTAAATTCCTTGAAAAACTATCAAAATGTAATTTACTCAAACAAACAAAATTACGGTGCGGTGGAAAAATTATTACGTCCGGAGTCCAATGAATACATTCATGTGGAGCTGACAGAAAAAAAAAAACTCGTTTTCTTATGATTCAGCGTAGTAACACTGGAAAATATTTCTTTCGTGTTATTCTGCGTTATTCAGGTGTTATTGTGGTAGTATTGATGTGTTATTGTGTTATTATAACACATATTACCACAATAACACCAAATAACACGAAATAACACGAAATAACACAGGGGGATATTCTCTTGTGCTAAAATAAATTTTTTTTTAATTTTTCTGTCAACTCCACGTGATTGATTATATTGGACTCTAAACATATCTCTATGTCCGGAGTCCGGACGTAATATCACCGCCGGCACTTCATCTAATATTTGTTTTTTAAATTATAATATAAATTTCATAATAAACAAAGTTTAAAATTATATATATTATTTCCCATTAAAAGAATTTCTTACATCAACAAAAGTTTGAGTGAAACGCATCTCTTCAAGCAGCCGCCTAACCGCACCGGCCTTCTCATCTTCAAACCCTAGCCGCAACTCCACCTCCGCCTCCACCAGTTCCATCTTTCCGGCAAACATCCCTACCCTCCTCCCCCTCTCCACCTCTTCCTCATTCCCTCCTCCCAATATAACCCCGCACGCCGCCGCACCGGCCGCCAGCTCCCCCTCCCTGCCCCCCTCATACGCCGCCCCGCCGGCAGGCCCCCCTGCCCCTCCCTGCCCCCCTCATACGCCGCCGCGACGGCAGCCGCCGTTCTCGCCACCTCCTTCAGCACCCTAACGGAGGGGCCTGCATCAACCGCCGACGATCGAGCCACCATTTCGTACGCTAGAACCAGAAGCCCGTCTCCGGTCAACAGCAGTACTCCGGGGGAGAATTCAGTGAGGGGAGGGGCGGTGCGGGTGCGGGTGTGGGTGACGGCGTGGATGAGGTGGAGCGCGCAGGCGGCGTTGATGGCGGAGTTCGGGTTTCCGCCGACGAGTTCGGTGGCGGCGAGGCAGAGGGGAGGGGCGATGGTCGGAGGAATGGGGGAAGAGAGGAGGCTGTGGATTGGGGCTTTGACGGAGGGGTGAATGGTGACCGGGAGGCTACGGAGGAGATGGGAAGATATGTCGGCGTTCGATGCGGAGAGATAGGATTGATCGGAGGTGGCGGTGCAAAGGGTTCGGTTGGGTCGCCGCAGGCGAGTTAGGGTTTGGGAGATTTGAGGTGGTTTGAAATTGGAGGGGATTGAGGGAAAGATTGCTGCCATTTTTTTGGGGGTGAAAGGAGAGAGGGGAAGGAGATATATGTAATGAAGAATTTGTTTGGGCCCTTTATGAAGCAAATGTTGCAATTAAAGATTAATTAAGTTTATGATTAATTAAGCATGGAGTTTTACATGGTTTGACCTATGTATTATATTAAATTATACTTGATGAAAATTACAATTTTTTATTAATTGCAGCCTACACCATAAGGGGCATCTAGGGGAAGAGATTGATTCCGTCTGCTTGTTTGAGAAGGATTGTCTTATTCATGTGTTTGTAATTGCTTATTTCGATGCACACGGATGCATCTGGCTGTGTGGATTTAGCTCGAGGATTGTTAATTGCTCAAAAATTGATTCGAATTTTAGTTCTTTGAGTTGAGATTGGTCAAAATAAATAGCCTAGTTACTAGACAACTATGATGTGTTACAGGCTGGTTTTGAGTTGAAATAGATCTAAATGACTCTAATTGAGAAGTCATCTTGTTTCGATTTCGAGCTAGATTCAGCAGATTTCGGGTTGGAATGGATCCAAATAACACAAATTTCGGCTAGCTCATTTTGATTTTCAGAAGGGAAGCTCGATTGAATTTTGAGTCGAACCAACTCGAAATTGAATATAGTAAGTTATGAGCCGGTTTCGATCCGAACTCAATACATTCGAGTTGGCCCCAACTCGATTCTATATGGATTGGTTAACAACCCTAAGGATACATGGGCCATACTAGTTGTTAATATTGGTACTTAAGATATTTTACTAAGAAAGTTAATCAAGAGTCTATACATTTTGGATTCTATACTAGTTGCTAATATTGGTACTTAAACATATTTTGCGAAGAGGGTCTATACATTTTGGATTCTAGATTATAAGCTTAGATTTGAATATTTTCATTATATTTTTTATATTGACTTTATTTAGGAAATGGTATTTAATAACTTGGTGTCAAATTTTCATTTTGAATTTTAGAATTTAAATTATTTGAAGATGTGGTATCATTAGAACAATATTGAGATAAAAGATTTTTCATTAAAAAAAAAATCTCTTAGCATCAAATTTCCATCATCCGACACAAATTTCGAGGTATGACACGATCTAAAAGCAACTTTTTGAGCAAGGAATGTTTAAACTTTGATTAAAAGTCATCTAGTGTTCCGATTTCATTAAACTTATAATCAAATTGACCGACTCGACGAGGTAGACCCAATGGGACCAACATTGATCTGGTCTAAACTAAATCGAGCCACGATCAAGACATTAAATCACTTTTGAAAGATTTTTGAACATAATTGGAAGATCAAATGGATGTTGAATCTGACGATTTTATAATTAAGTCGAGCGTCTCAAGAAGACAAACCCAATGAGCTCAAGCTCACTCAATTCTGACATTGTTAAAGCACTCAAATGTCCATCAAACGTCGTCTGATCGAATGAATCTCTCAAGACCGTCCAATCAAAATAGTTTATATTCATGCATTAATTGCACCCATAACACTATAAGTAGAATCTCGCCTCTTTCAAGAGGGTGGATGAGAGCTTGAAATTTGAGGAAGAGCATGAAGCTTTGAGAAGTAGTTGAAGTCCAGCACAACCACTGCCGATAGTCTTCGATTACCAATGACATCCGTCGACTACCGTTAACTGTCGCTGACTTTCGTCAATCGCCATTAACCATCGTCAACGACTTTCGACCATCATTGACCTCTGTCGACTACTGTTGACTGTTGTCGATCATCGCTAATCTCCGTCTACCACCACCGACTGTCGTCATCACCACCGACCAAACATCGCCAATCGCTATCGGTCGAGGTTGTAACTTGGGAAATCTTGTAACCCTTTCCAGCATGTGGGACAATTGGTTGCAATTGCAATTATTTTTTTTTTATAAAGAAACTCTTTAGTTGGGTCGGACTTTATGGTTTTTCATTTTTCTGGTTTTTCACGTAAAAAATTTTGATGTGATTATCAGTTGTTTTCTATATTTTGAGTGTGTGTTAAATCTTCGTATCACATTAAGACGATAATCCGCTACTCTACTATTGCAAATTCTCTAGCGCGCATCAAACATAATTTTCATGTGTCACAATATATTTAGATACATACAACTCAATTCTTATATATTTACATATCTAATACCTAAAGTTTTATATTTACATTTATCCTTGAAAAGATGTAATTCACTTTTAAGAAAATAGGTGGTTCTCAAAATATTTTTGATGTGATATTGAAAACTTGAGTGTTATTTATATACATATTCAAATTATGTGTTTGATGAGTAAATACATAAAAATTGTGTGGCATGTGACTGCAATTTTTATATATGCTTAAAAATATAAGTAATTAATAC